TGTGTGTGTGTGTGTGCAGGACTGGCACCTCGGAGGGAAGTGTGACGTCTTTCTGTGGGGTGCAGGGCGCCATGGGCAGTTGGCGGAGGCTGGCAGGAACATCCTGGTGCCAACCACTGCTCCGTCTTTCTCTCAGGCACAACAGGTACAACGTACACCAGCACGTAGTCACGTCCAGTTACAGAGTTCCTCTTGTGTTTTATTGGTAGATTGAATCCCCGTCACACTGACTCTATAGATTTGTTTACGTTGAATAAAGCAAAGTAAATCTAAAAAAGATTCAGCCGGGAACGGAGGTGAAGAGAAGTTGTTGTACAGATCCGGTGTTCTTGCAACTTGATCCACCCCAGAAACAGAAGTCCAGCAATCAAATGTTATGGAAACGCTGAAACATGGTGACTCAGCCGCGGTCTGCACCGTGTGACCTCTGCTGTGTTCGTCTGTATTTGTTCACTCGTGGCTTTGTCTCCCCTCCCCCAGGTGGTGTGTGGTCAGAACTGCACCTTTGCGATCCAGCCTAACGGGACGGTGTTGGCCTGTGGAGAAGGAAGCTACGGTCGTCTGGGCCAAGGGAACTCTGACGACCTGCACGTGCTCACGGTCATCTCCGCTCTTCAAGGTGACGCATGTGGATGCACACATGACGACTGATTTACTGTTGTTAGTATGTATTGAAAGGACGGTGAGTTTAATCGGATACAGCGGAGTTCCATAGTATTAATTATCAAAAACGAATCCTTTCAGCTGTCGGATCTAACGAGGTTTAAGTAACTAACAACCCTCTGAACCACGTCTCTTCGATGCCATCAGTTTTTTTATTAATTGATTTAAACAGCGTTTCCGCTCTGACTCTGTCTCGTCAGGTTTTGTTGTGACTCAGCTGGTGACGTCATGCGGCAGCGACGGGCACTCCATGGCGCTGACGGAGAGTGGCGAGGTGTTCAGCTGGGGGGACGGGGACTACGGTAAACTGGGCCACGGGAACAGTGACCGCCAGCGCCGACCCAGACAGATCGAAGCCCTGCAGGGAGAGGAGGTGGTGCAGGTCAGTCTGTCTTAAGAAGAGAACCTCAGAGTAATAAACAGCTTCAATACATGTTTCCTTTGGTGCAGCCACATGTTTCATGACCGGCTCTTCTTCCTCACCAGATGTCCTGCGGGTTCAAACACTCAGCAGTGGTAACAGCAGATGGGAAGCTCTTCACTTTCGGTAACGGTGATTACGGCAGACTGGGGCTCGGAAACACTTCGAACAAGAAGCTCCCAGAGAAGGTCACAGCTCTGGAGGGATACCAAGTCGGACAGGTGGGCCTGAAGGATCCTGTCGAGTCAAACTTAGTGTGAAGTCGTGACAGAATCAGTTTAGGTTGACTCATTATAACGGGAGTTACAGTGAACCAACAGGATCTCATCTCAAGTGTTGGTGACAGGAATATACACGTGATAATAAAAACAATGATGCTAATGAAAAGAGAATGTGGAGAAAATTCAGGGCTGTGTGAAGGTGCATTCATCTTTTTACCATTATCTTGTCAGCTTGAATATTCTGAAGCTTTAGAAAACGTAGGTTCTGGACGGCTCTGCTCAGCTGACGTTGACGTGTTCCCCTCAGGTGGCCTGTGGTCTGAACCACACTTTGGTCATCTCTGCTGACGGAATGATGGTTTGGGCGTTTGGTGATGGAGACTACGGAAAACTGGGACTTGGTAACTCCACAGCCAAGTCGTCCCCTCAGGTAAAACACTGAGAGGCCTGATGTTTAGTACGAACAGAGAGACCTGGTGTTTGTGTGTGAACATCAGTATGTGAAGGTTTATTCAGAATGTTTTAAATCCTCAGAAAGTGGACGTGCTGTGTGGGATCGGTATTAAAAAAGTAGCTTGTGGAACACAGTTCTCCGTGGCTTTAACCAAAGATGGGAAAGTTTTCACGTTCGGCCAAGGTACGTCTGATTTCTTTCTCTCCAACTACTTCATGATGCAGGATTGATGAGAGCGGCAGTGACTGATCGATTCATCGGTTGTTAGATCAACACGCAATTCATTTGGAATTATTTTAAATAAACACTTTATCTTAAAATAAATTTAAAAATCACAACATTGTGATGAACAATTTGATGGTTTTGCTATTTTTTCTGTGAAATAGTTTTGAACCAGACACAATAAGATATTTTCTTGGAATCAGGGAATTAATTTTTTGTAGAATAAATCAAAAAATCCATCAATTGAGAAAATAATCAGCAGAATAATTGGAAATGAGACGAACTGATAGTTGTAGCTCTGTAAGTTTTCCATATCTGTAAAAACAAATTGCAGTAAACAACTACTTCACAGTACAGTTCATATTATTACACATGAACAACACACGGCTCAGATCGGATCTCTTTCCTTCTCGGTCACAGACCGTCTCATTGGCTTAGCCGAGGGCCGAGCCCGGAATCACAATCGGCCCCAGCAGGTCCCGGCTCTGTCAGGGATCCACGTCCAGGACGTCGCTGTCGGAGCTGAACACACTCTGGTGCTCTCGTCCACGGGAGACGTCTACACCTGGGGCAGCAACTCCGAGGGACAGGTAACCTGCACACACGCTCAGTTTGTTAATGCTGGAGGTGAGTGATGGATGACTGTGGTTGATTAATCTGTGTGGTCTGTAATCTGTTGTGCAGCTGGGTCTGGGGCACACTAACCACGTCAGAGAGCCCACACTGGCGACGGCGCTGCAGGGCAAGAACATCCACCAGATCTCTGCTGGCCGCTGCCACAGCGCAGCGTGGACGGCGCCCTCTGTGCCGCCGCGAGCTCCAGGTTAGACACACAACACAAACACTCTCCCGCCCACACACATGCGACGCCCCCTGCCACCCCTGCTGTCTGACAGACACTGTGACCTGGAGGTCAGATTCCCTGTAGCGCTGCCAGCATGTGCAGCAGACGCAGGGACACAGCACATTGTTGTCAGATGAGGCAGCGTCGCTGTGTGACGAACATCAGCACTGAGCCACAGATGGTGTGAAAAGACCATGAAGTATCCGTAGATGAGATTTAAAGACCTTCCAGCAAGTTGGGACAGTTTTCTCTCTCCTTCAGACATTTGATAGTGAATTGTTTTTATTTCTGTATCCTCCTCCGTCCTCTCCTCAGGCTCGTCAGTTCCTCTCCAGCTGGGTCTGCCCATGGCGGTGCCTCCTCAGTACAGTGGGCTGAAGGAGGTGAGCATCGAGGCGGTGAGAGCTCGCCTGCGCCTCCTCTACCACTTCTCCGACCTCATGTACTCCTCGTGGAGACTTCTCAACCTCAGCCCCAACAACCAGGTGGGCAAAGGGCCAGGACACAAACCAAGTTTTTATATTACAGATAAAACCATGAAGGGTGAAAAGAGGGGAGAAGTGTTTCCTGCATCTCTCAGGAACTCACATGATGATTTAATTCTTACTCTGCAGAGCTGCACCTCCCATTACAATGCTGGTACCTGGGGGATAGTCCAGGGCCAGTTGAGGCCCCTGTTGGCTCCCAGAGTCTACACTCTGCCCATGGTGCGCTCCATAGGAAAGACCATGGTGCAGGGAAAGAACTACGGCCCCCAGATCACCGTCAAGCGAATCTCCACCCGGTCAGTACTTCGTCTCGCTGTGTTTACGATATCAAACAGACGTTCGTGTGTCCGAAGAGTTGGTCCTGACCTTCTGGAGAGGTCATCCACAAACTCAAGTTCACTGGTTCTTTCACACTCCGGACTCTGGACGTTGAGTTTGTTGCCTCACTGTGTTTAAACTAACATTTTGGACGTTCTCTTTCCGTAGGGGACGGAAGTGTAAACCGATCTTTGTGCAGATCGCTCGCCAAGTTGTGAAGCTCAACGCCTCAGACCTTCGACTGCCCTCCAGGGCTTGGAAGGTTAAACTGGTGGGGGAGGGGGCGGACGATGCAGGCGGAGTCTTTGATGACACCATCACTGAGATGTGTCAGGTACGGACGGATCCATCGGTCAGTGATTCTGAATGAAGCAGTTTTTTCTGGATGATTCAGTGACGTGTGTCTGTTTGTTTGCACAGGAGTTGGAGACGGGGGTCGTCGACCTGCTCATCCCCTCCCCCAACGCCACAGCAGAGGTTGGCTACAACAGAGACAGGTGAGGAAACATGAAGGTTTGAGTGCAGATCAGGTTCATGTTGTAGATTTATGTGAGATATCAGAGAATTCTGTCATTTAAGTTATAAGTTATATCATGAAACAACATTCATCAAGATGTTAACGATTATATTTGACACGAGGCTCCTCTGTGAGAATCTCTGGATGCAACACAAACTGAATCTTCTGAATTGAAACCACATCTTTCTTCTCCTCCGCCTCAGGTTCCTCTTCAACCCGTCCGCCTGCCTGGATGAGCACATGCTCCAGTTTAAGTTTTTGGGGATTCTGATGGGAGTCGCCATCCGCACCAAGAAACCTCTGGACCTGCACCTGGCTCCTCTGGTGTGGAAACAGCTGTGCTGCATCCCCCTGCTCCCGGAGGATCTGGAGGAAGTCGACCTCCTCTACGTGCAGACGCTCAAAAGCATTCTTCACATTGAAGACAGCGGCATCACCGAGGAAAATTTCCATGAGGTGAGGATGGATTTGTTTTTTTAGATTCTGTGTTTTTGTCAGTTTCACGTCCGTCACGTGTTAGAAACCTCATCAACACGTCAGGAACACGTCTGAACTGAAAACATGAGAACTGTCCAGAGGAAGTTTGTAGTATAATCTCAGGTGAGATGAACGAAAGAAGTAAATTAGATCATTTGTTCGAAACACAGATTAAAGGAGGTTTCTAGAGAAGTCGTCCTTCGGTTCTCACGATGGAGTCAGTCAACGTGTCTTTGGCTTCAACAGATTGGAAGGTTGTTGTTTTATTTCTCATAAAAATGGAACGTCACTCCGGCTCCTGAAGGCTCAACAGTAAACATCAGTTAGACACAAGCTACGTGACTCAGTTTATCCTCCAGCAGCAACACAAAGAACTTCCAGAGTCAAGTGGTTAACTACAGAGAATCACTGATGATAGATCTGCTCCCCCTCCTCCTCCTCCTCCTCCTCCTCCTCCTCCTCCTCCTCCTCCTCCATGTGAACGCTTCACTCGTCTGAATCACACGCGTAAAGCTTTAATGAGCAGCCTGTTCACAGCCACATCAGCATGTTCCGCTCCCAAAGAGAGCGACCGGGGGCCGACCGGGGGCCGACCGGGGGCCGACCGTGAACACGACGTGTTTACAGGAGGTTCGGTCTGTTTACAGCCGGCAGGGTCGAGCATGAATCAACCAATCGTGGCTCAGAATCTGTGTCCAGACTTGAAACTGTGACACTTGTGAGTGCAACAAGGTTTATCCCAGAACTCACCACAGGAGACTGAAATAAAAACCATGGCAGAGGAACGTTCTTTAACTTTAATTCTTTAAAGTTCTCTGTCTTCTACCTCATCATAGTCCCCTGATGACGTCTGTCCCCTTTTTAATGTTTGCTGAGACACAAGTTAAAGTTAAAAATGTTCATGGTTAAAATAACTTACGGAGAGTTAAGAAATATTTAGTTCATGTTTCTATATTTAGCAAATTACTTTGAATATGTTTTATGTTTTAATAAAATAATTCAGTTCAATTGAAAAGATGAATTAACATAACTACAGGTTTTGTAGATCATCAGTTCGGTCAACAAGTCTCCATGAAAACCATAACGTTACAAAACTTAATGTCCTGTTGAAAAACCATCCTGCTCCGAGGTTCGTCCAGCTTTTTATCCAGACACTGGACATCAGCCAGCAGAAAACTCGGTAGCGGAGGCCGCTTCTCACGTTTCCTCAGCCGGACTAGGATCCCGGCCCGCGACCCTCGTTTCCTTCGAAAAAAGTTGTTTTCCAAAAATGTTTTCCACAGTCTGACCTGAGAATCTCCTGCTGCGGTTTTCATACGTGAAGAACAAACTCCGGAGTCCGTTCAGACCCAGCTCCGTGTGGACATTCTCCGGAGTTCATGACTGAATCAGCTCATTTCTACTGAAGAGTTAACTACGCTCCTGCAGGAGGTCAGAAACATCAGAGCTCCTCCTGTCCTCCTCTCCTCCTCGCTCTCCTTCACACTGTTCCCCTCCAAGTGCAGATCAAACCTCTGAAACCTCACGTCTGTGGCGCCGGACGTGACCGCTGCCGACCACACAGCCTCTCCCCGCCCCTCCCAGAGCAACGCTCATTTATCTCCGAGCCCCTCGTCTGTCCAACAACCTCACACAGCCTGCACTGTAAAGCTCCGGCCTGTAGGAATGCCAGGGTATCCTGCCCGCCGGAGACCTGGCCCCGCTCCCAGGCTTGTGGGGGGGGGG